ATGAGTTGACTCACCCGCCGCTCCGACTCCTATAACAAATGACAAGAAGTAAAGGACCCATACTTTCGGGAATAGAAAGTTTGCGATAAATAGACTATAAAACAGACAAAATATATGATTAATCACATGAGAGAATACTCTTAAAGAGAGGGCATTACCAATAGGTTGCGCCGCCAAAAACCATCGCCAACTTCGGACCCGTAATGACCACAACGGACGGAGCGATCCAATTGGCGACAGCCATTACCGCATAAATTATACATAAACTCGTGTAACCGTTGGCCGTATAACTGGGTTCTCGAGAGTGAATACTGTTTACAACTGTTTGCTATTATGAGTACAAAATTTATTAAAATTACCATCATAAATTAATCATTAAAAGCATGAAAAGCACTCACCTGGATCATACCACCGGTTTGAAAGGCGGTAAATATAAGCATAAATGCTAAGCCCAGGAGCATAACGTTCACAAAGTTTCTATCCATTGTGTGTGGTTTGTGGCGGAATATTCTGTACTTTTTAATACGAAATTTGCGAAAAACCATATAATTTATGCCTAAATACTACTATATTCGCAGTCGGAGTACAGATACACAAAAAAAGAAGTGTTTGTTATGCCATATCCACTATAAATATCCCATTAATGAACTGAAATACACAAAACATATGCAATCAATTAAAGAGAAAAACTTTTCTAATTGTTTTTGTTAAATATTCAACGATAATAAACAGATTTCGATTCAGTTTTTGTGATAATTAATATTTTAACTGTTATTAAGAAGTTTGTAAAAGCATTACTGTATATGACTCGTGATATCTCACGAGTAAAATCTTTACAAATCACAGAATATTGTTGTTTACAAATATTGAGATGATTTACAAAGATATTCCGTGTGTTAAATGTATGGAAACTAAGTCATTGTCAAAACTTTTGTACTGTACTATACGTTATTATAAGCCCTAATAATAATATTGTCGTGAAATTGATTAAAAAGTCAATTATTGTGAAGTTTATAGTAATACAGTATTACTAATACTAATTGATAACTTATCACATAATAAGTTATATGTGTTAAGTCTATAATCCGGGAGACAATCAATTACACCTTATAATCAAAACTATGGCCTGTGTTTTGTAATAATATTACCGGTAAATAGAAAATATTTTAAAATTAAATATTCGTAATATCGATGCTATAATACCGGTTAGTTTGTATTGTTTGCAAATTATCACAATTATGTACTGCTGTATGAATACACAAGAATTTTATTGAAACATCAACATGATAGATTATTCCTGAGGTATTCAAAGCACAACATATTTTTACGTCAAATAAAGTTATTACTTATTATATAATCATTGATATATCGATTCAAAGCTTAATATAACTGTTAGACTAATCCTGTTTTGGCATATATTAGGAATTTAAGGAAAAAGACTATTATGTGGCAAAAAAGACATCATAGGGCTTATCGCAAACGTATTTTTGTTACAAACAACAAAAAGATTAATCATTTCACTATATATTTTGATAATTTATGGTTTAATTGCAATTAAACTTTAATGCAAAAATTTGAAAAAATTAATTCTTATCCTTCCGGTCATCAAATAATCAATTATTTTGTGCCCAAAAATAAAGTCCAATTCTTAATGACCTGATAATCAATGGATTCGTTAAATATTAAAGTATGTTATCGTTGTGTTTATCAATACATGAGACGATGTATTGTAAACTTATTGCAAAAAATGAGGACAATATTTGTGTGTTTATTAAAATTATTCAATACTTTAGGCATAAAATATAACAAAAAAAAGTAATCCTATGTTTCAATACCCTTATAAAACTGTGACAATACAATAGTAGTTATATATTTAATGACAAACAAAAATTTTATTTCTATAACATTACAAGTTTTATTTAATACACAATTCAAATCCTGTGCTAAACTATGAGCAAAATTTTTAGATTTATTTTTAATAACTAATTATAAAATAAGCGAATCGCTTATTTTATAATTAGTTATTAAAAATAAATCTAAAAATTTTGCTCATAGTTTAGCACAGGATTTGAATTGTGTATTAAATAAAACTTGTAATGTTATAGAAATAAAATTTTTGTTTGTCATTATTGTTAAATATATAACTACTGTATTGTCACAGTTTTATACGGGTATTGAAACATAGGATTACTTTTTTTTGTTTAAATTTTATATATATTTTATGCCTAAAGTATTGAATAATTTTAATAAACACACAGATATTGTCCTCATTTTTTTGCAATAAGTTTACAATACATCGTCTCATGTATTGATAAACACAACGATAACATACTTTAATATTTAACGAATCCATTGATTATCAGGTCATTAAAAATTGGACTTTATTTTTGGGCACAAAATAATTGATTATTTGATGACCGGAAGGATAAGAATTAATTTTTTCATAAAAGTTATTGCATTAAAGTTTAATTGCAATTAAACCATAAATTATCAAAATATACAGTGAAATGATTAATCTTTTTGTTATTTGTAACAAAAATAAGTTTGCGATAAACCCTATGATGTCTTTTTTTTGCCACATAATAGTGTTTTTCCTTATATTCCTAATATATGCCAAAACAGGATTAGTCTAACAGTTATATTGAGCTTTGAATCGATATATCAATGATTATATAATAAGTAATAACTTTATTTGACGTAAAAATATGTTGTGCTTTGAATACCTCAGGAATAATCTATCATGTTGATGTTTCAATGAAATTCTTGTGTATTCATACAGCAGTACATAATTGTGATAATTTGCAAACAATACAAACTAACCGGTATTATACCATCGATATTATGAATATTTAATTTTAAAATATTTTATATTCATTACAAAACACAAGCAATAGTTTTGATTGTAAGGTGTAATTGATTGTCTCCCGGATTATAGACTTAACTTATTATGTGATAAGTTATCAATTAGTATTAGTAATACTGTATTACTATAAACTTCACAATAATTGACTTTTTAATCAATTTTACGACAATATTATTATTAAGGCTTATAATAATGTAGAGTACAGTACAAAAGTTTTGACAATGACTTAGTTTCTATACATTTAACACACGGAATATCTTTGTAAATCATCTCAATATTTGTAAACAACAATATTCTGTGATTTGTAAAGATTTTACTCGTGAGATATCACGAGTCATATACAGTAATGTTTTAACAAACTTCTTATTAACAGTGAAAATACTAATTATTACAAAAACTGAATAGAAATCTGTTTATTATCGTTGAATATTTCACAAAAACTATTAGAAAAGTTTTTCTCTTTAATTGATTGCATATGTTTTGTGTATTTCAGTTCATTAATGGGATATTTATAGTGGATATGGCATAACAAACACTTCTTTTTTGTGTATCTGTACTCCGACTGCGAATATAGTAGTATTTTGGGCATAAATTATATGGTTTTCCGCAAATTTCGTATTAAAAAGTACAGAATATTCCGCCACAAACCACACACAATGGACAGAAACTTTGTGAACGTTATGCTCCTGGGCTTAGCATTTATGCTTATATTTACCGCCTTTCAAACCGGTGGTATGATCCAGGTGAGTGCTTTTAATGATTAATTTGTGATGGTAATTTTAATAAATTCTGTTCTCATAATAGCAAACAGTTGTAAACAGTATTCACTCCAGGGATAACAGCTATACGGCCAACGGTTACACGAGTTTATGTATTATTTACGCGGTGATGGCTGTCGCCAATTGGATCGCTCCGTCCGTTGTGGTCATTACGGGTCCGAAGTTGGCGATGGTTTTTGGCGGCGCAACCTATTGGTAATGCCCTCTTTTTAAGAGTATTTTCTCGTGTGATTAATCATATATTTTGTCTGTTTTATAGTCTATTTATCGCAAACTTTCTATTCCCGAAAGTATGGGTCCTTTACTTCTTGTCATTTGTTATAGGAGTCGGAGCGGCGGGTGAGTCAACTCATTGCCACCATTTTATGGCATATTTATTAATGACATGCATTTGAATGGCCAGTGATATGGACGGGTCAGGGAAACTATCTGACCATTAATTCTAATGAAGACACGATGTCGAGGAATAGCGGTGTCTTTTGGGCTCTATTGCAATGTAGTCTTATTTGGGGCAATCTTTTTGTGTCCTTTGTTTTCACGAAAGACACTATAGACGAGCCGACCATTCAGTTAACGTATGGCGTATTGACGGGCGTAGGAATCGCCGGAACTATTCTGTTATTCTTCTTGAGAGGTGGCAATCGAGCCAATAGTGAACTAACTCTTCGGCAAAGTGTCGGCGAATGTGTCGACGCTTTCGGTATTAATTATAACAATTGGTAATAATTAAAACCTTATTAATTAATCATTTCTATCGAATAGTCGGAGCTTTTCGTCTTCTCACAACTAAAAGGATGGCTCTCTTGTGTCTCACTTTTTTCTATTCCGGTATTTATATTGTATTCAAACTAATAATGAATTTATATTTAATTAAATAATTTAAATGAAACAATAGGTTTGGAGTTAAGTTTCTTCAGCGGTGTCTACGGGACAGCCATTGGAAACACGAATAGTCTGGACAGTGAGGGTAACGCCAAACGATTCATCGGTATCTCCGGTATACTAATCGGTTTGGGAGAGATCATCGGCGGCGCGACCTTTGGTCTGTTGAGCTCAAAGACCAACCGTTACGGTCGCGACCCGATTGTCATATTGGGTTACGTCGTCCATATGGTCGCCTTCTTTCTCATATTTATAAACCTTCCGAGCGTTGCGTCCCTTCAGAAGACTAACGACCCGTCGTATATCACTAGCAAGTATGTCATCAACGCCTCAACCCATACCAAACCAACCCATTATCTGTCAATTCAAATGCCTAACCGTGTGTTTGGTGTGCTTGCAGTTTAGGTGTGGCCTTATTCTGTAGTTTCCTATTGGGTTTGGGAGACGCCTGTTATAACACCCAAATGTACTCCATATTGGGTGTCCTGTATCGGGACAACTCCGCGGCCGCGTTCGCTCTCTTCAAGTTTGTGCAGTCAATCGCGGGTGCGATCGCCTTCTTCTACGCGACAACAGCCGACCTTCACGTACAGGTCCTCGTATTAGCCGTATTCGCATCGCTGGGAACCATCACCTTCTCCACCGTCGAGTGGTCCGCGTCTGTCCATAGAGAGAGAGAAACACCCGAAGACACGGCACACGAAAGCTGAAGACATCCACTCTTTAATTGTTAAATTATTATTATTTTCTAAACATCTATTTTTCGTTTGGTTTAAACTCTTTTTAAACTTTCAGTATAAATATTTTTGGTATAAATTATTCAGAAAAAGTACATATTTTTACATAAATTTTATTAAACATAAAAGAAATTAATAAATCTCTTTAAAAGAGTTTATTTAACATAAAATGTTTGTTAAAAATTGATTTTTAAATCAATAAAATGGTTGATATCTGATTGTAAGTGATATTTGATGCGATCGTTGATCGATACACGTTTAATATCCTATAATCTACAGGTATAGGCGTTTTTCAACACTAATATTTCAATTGTTTTATGCATTCAGTGATAAATCGTTGACTAAAATATAGTTAATTTAAAAGTTGAGATTCGGTGACAGAGATAATAGCAATCAGTAAATAGGATATTAAAGGGGTATTAAGGGGTAAAGAGAGGGGGTATAGGTATAGGAGGGGTTAGTTTAGGGACAGTACATGTATAGCCTATACAGTGTTTTTGGCAGTGAATGTATGGGTAGTTTTGGCGCTGCCTTTGCCTGCCTTTTGGCGTGCATTGACTGCAATACAGTCTGTATTCACACATACTTTACATTCACTGCAAGTATAGACCCATTGAGTGAATGATTGCCACAAAAACACAACAAATCCTTTGATATTATCATCGCATCGGTTGACCACTGATTGTCGAGTTCTTCGCGACCGATATGTCGGGGCGAAGGAGAGGCCGATCGCAGGACAGCGCCAGCGACTGGAGTATCGGATCCATCGATAAGGACAACAACAAAGTGGTCGACAAATTCAACGATAGACACAATTGTCAGGAAAATGAGTCCTTTTGGCAGACATTTGAAAGTATGGATCAGATCCGCGGCCACTGATTGTCTCATTTTAATTGATTTGTCTCTCTTTCAGAGCCGACACAGATCTACAGATATCTAAGAACTCGTCATTTAGTTTCCGTAAGTGTTGTTGTTTTTGTCACATATTTTGCTGTTTGTAGTAATCGTCACTGAAATGGATCTATTGTTGTCTTCGTGTGATAACAGCCGATATTTCTGAATCGAAACCTCTATTATATGAGACAACGGTTCCAACGAAGTAATGGCAAAAAGCGGCGCGACTTCAGTATTGATAACATTCTTCAATATGTGATCGAAAAGAAACAAAGAGAGGCCATCGCTGAAGAGTATGTCTGCCTTTTAAATGGCTAACAATGTATTAATGTCTTTGTCATTGTCGCAGATCCGCAGGCAATTTGACGCTAACTATATTATCTGTCAAAAACCAGAGCTCTAACAAAGGTATGATTGGATTTGTTTGTTTGACTCAACTCTTTGAACACATAATGAGTGCAAATATTGTATGCCTTTACAGACCACTCGGCGGTCACTGTGGAGACATCGTTGCTGAAGATGGGACACCAGAAGCGCAAAGACGTGTTGGCGCCCGTCTATCAGTATTCAGGTTTGTGTTTAAACTTATTAAATACAGTATTGTTAGTGTTGTCATTGATATAATGTGTTGATTGAATGGACAGTCGGCACCACTGAACTGGAGCTGAACGGCGAGGACTCGGACGACAACTGTCTGACTGTCTATAAGAGCGAATTGAACGAAACTAACGGCCATCTCGTGAAGCAGTGGTCGTACTCTCTATTATTTATTGCATCCTTTCATAAAGACTATAATCAGCACAAAGTGAACGGCAATTGTGTTGAAAGTGATAAACAAGAGAATGATATGTCGCTAATGAACGACAATAACCCGAAGAGCGAACCGTTGGTTAAACGGCGGCGTTTGGATGAGCCGACGGTGACTTACTTTAAGGCCGAACTTATCATTTATGACAAACACAAGAACTGCCTGTTGACTGATGGCGAGTACACCGCTGTCCTACAGCCGTGTGCGCCCCCGAAGGCCAACAAGTTTGGCAAATATAGTAAATACTCGAAATGGCAGGAAATCACAGCCGAAGATATTGACGGCCTCTCTATAGAGGATCCGAACAAACAGTACGGATCGATGGAAGTGTTCCGAAAGGGTCCGGTTCTCATGTTTAAGCTGTCGTGGAGTTCGTCCAACAATCCGGCGAACGACAGCCTCAATGGCATGAATCACATTCTGTCCAACAATATTGAGAACGACTCGGGAATCGGTAACAACACGAGCGACAACTCCAGTAACCAGTCGTTCAACGGCTGCCTACCGACGGACGATGCGCTGAAAGCACCGCTCAATTCACTGTCACTGTTGGGCCATAAAAAGCCGGTTCGCGTCATATATCAGTTCATGTTTAACAACAATGTTCGACAACAGACCAAACCGCAAAGCGACCTGTGCTGTCCCTGGTGTTCACTCAACTGCCAACAGCTCTATTCGCTGATCAAACACCTGAAGCTATGTCACAATCGGTTTGTATTCAATTACGTGCCGGACGCGAAGTGCGCCCGCATTGATGTGGCCGTCAACGAGTGCTACGACGGCTCGTATGCGGGCAATCCACTCGATCTCTCCTTTAACAACACAGGGTTTGCCTTCAGCCGCAACGGACCCGTGCGTCGAAATCCGGTCACTCACGTGATTGTATGCCATCCGAAACGGTTCCCGCAAAGTCTCAGCGAATTCGATGAGCCCGACGACGAGGACGGCACCAATGGTCGCACTTACATCTCGGGCCACAACCGGCTCTACTATCACACGAACTCATGTCTGCCGATTAGACCCCAAGAGATGGAATACGACAGCGAAGCCGAAAACGACCCCAAATGGATGAAAGAGAAGACCCAAATGGTATGACCAGAAAAGTGTTGATTGGTTTGAATTTATTTTTTACTTGATTTTTGTCTATCGATTCCATTAATGATCAGATGATTGACGAATTCACAGACGTTAATGAAGGCGAGAAGGAAGTGATGAAAATGTGGAATTTGCATATCATGTCCAATGGGTTTGTTTTGCATCTCTTTTCAAATGTCAAATCTTTTAACTTTAGTTACTTTTTTACAACGGCTTATAATTCACTTTTACTTTTATAATAAGTTTACTCAAAAGTTATAATAGCTTTTACTTATATAAATAGTAATTAAATTGAATACATATAGAGTTGATGTGGTATTTATATTGTATGACAGGTTTGTGGGCGACTGTCAGATACAGTTGGCGTGCGATATGTTTGTGAAGGAAAAGGGCGAAGAGTTGTTCGCAAAGAACTTGTATAAGAACTTCATTTTGCATTTGAATAATCTCTACGATTTCGGTCTATTGAATGCATCGAGTTTTGTGGATATCATCAAAAATTTAAACCAAAAACAAAAGTGTTTGGCCGAAGAGCAGAAGGGAAAGGCACTCAAAACTGAACCAAACAATGGTCTCAAATCACGATAATATTTATTTTTCATCCGATTTTTTCTCCTTTTTTTCCTGTACTGAATGTTTGGCCAATTTTATAGTACTGTATATGTAATTACTGGTCGTTTTCAAACACACCATCAAATAGATTGCATATCTTTAAAAATATGTGTTCATATGTTTGTATTAATTATGATTTAAATTAAAATATAATAACAATACGATTGAAGTTTTGAATTAAGTATATTTTATATATAATCAAGTCTTGGCATACATTTTTGTAAATGTTTATTATTAAATTTTTATTCACTTTTATTAGTGTTATATACTATTGAAATGAATTCCATGTAATAATCTGTACTCTTCTTATGCCCAAAACTAAAACACATTTTGGTTTTAAAATTTTATTAAAAAGTATACAATTGTATAAAAAATGGTCTAAATTTGTGTTGAATTATATTTTAATTTCTAAAATTACAAAATTTAAGCGATTAAACAATGAAATAATGTTTGAGTCAATTTACGTAAACTTTTATAAGATGTGGACACGAGTCTTGACTTGAAAATAAATTACATTTTATTAATTCATATCATTTCGATGTCTCATATACTGTATTGTCTCTAATAAATGATTGGTAATACCTTAATGTTAGAATACTTTCACACAAAATACTGTGTTTTGGTGTTATTAATGGATTTAAAACCAAACCATCATTTAATGTCAAGTTTGACGCGTTGAACATAACTTATCTGTCAATTCTGTTAACCCATCATTTTATAATACTTATAATCATATGAAAGATGGAAAGGATGAGAGAGAGAGAGAGAGAGAGAGAGAGAGAGAGAGAGGATGAGAGATGCGAGAGGATGTGCGAGGAAGAGGCGGCACCAGTGCTGGCAAAAGGGAACTGATGTATGGATCTGTTGAGGACTGGATGTGTTGAGAGGACACCAGAGGGCAAACGCGAGAACCGAAGAAAGTGGTCGGGAATTGTGTATTGAGTGGTGTGTATTGAGACGATTCTTGTTTAGCATTCAGTCAGTGTTGAAGTGCTTATGAATGCAATGATAGCAGCGATTCATAGAGTCGTTAATGGTATTGGAGTCACCACTAGAGTCACCAAATTCTCTGCATTAAATGTGAAAATATTTTTTGTGACCAAAAATATGTGTAAAATTCAAATGAGGCTAACTTTGCCTTACGATTACATTTAAGATGAATTAAGAAAAACTTTGAACCGTTTCACACATACATCTCATTCACAACACTACAGATGCTATGAAAATGTGTAGAGAATCGCGAATATATTCCAGCGTTTAATAACAATTGTTTGTGCAATAAAAATGTGTTGAATGGCATCGAAAAATGTAAAGAATATTCTCTATTAATATAAAGTCAAAGTGAATGCAAACAAATGGATCGCTTATGCCATCAATATTTGATGGCAAACACAACTCGGATATCGCTGAGCAGTTGTTGCCTCATATTGTGGATATGGTTATCGCTGTGCACAGCCTTAGAGGGCCAGCGCTCAGGCGGTCTATTCGGTCAGTCGTCTTCATCGCCAACATTTGGCACAAATGTCCAAAAGATCACATTCGGAGCCATTTTACCGAAAACTTCCTTAATTACATTACAGCGACAGTACTATAAGGTATGAATAGTTAACTTTTGTTTTTTATTTCCATTAGACTTAATGCAAAAATCAATGAATTCATAAAAATATGTCTAAACATTAATACAATAATGAGATTAAGACTTAAAGTAATTAATATTATTAGCCATTTATTTGTACGGTATTAGCGTTTATAAGTCAGACAGTGATGTATAAACTTATGGATAATTTATATAATAGGATGAAATGACATTCAGACCATTCTATAACAATCCTCTTATACTTTGGGAACGAATAATACTATTTTAATTAACAATTGGACGGTTTGGGGTTTAGGAGAGCTTTAAGTCTTGGGTAACGAGTTTATGTCACTATACTGTCTATATATGCACCCAATCTCTGTTCAATTCAAACTGCGATTACATATCCTGTCTAACGATGCCATCAATATTTATAGCCAACAACTTTTAAGATTGGCTAATGTTTCCGTTATACAGCACAACACGACCTGCACTTTACTCTACAGTACGGCATACCTGTGCTCTGAGTTTATTAGCGCAACAATTGGGATCAATTTGTATAGGAATTTGTCATTATTCGCGATACACTTGTTTTGTGTACATTTCTGATAACACTGTCTCAATAAGTACACAGAATATTCTTGAAGTCAAATCATATTATGTTAATATTTATATGATTTTTTGTTCATTGGATTATCCAGTAGTTTAAGACTTTATTTATACAAAAAAAAATCTCGAATAAAATATAATTTTTTGAATATTTGCATTAATTATATTATTAATTAAAAAAATTTAATAAAAAATAGTGTGAAAATAATAAACTGATATAAAAACTCGATATAATGAGTGTTTATCGGGTTTAATGCTAATGCAAATAAAATGATAAATATCTCATGAGCTAAAGTCATAGGGTTTGTCAAACACGACCCAAATTGTCCAGTCGTTGGTTTTAATGACATTTTAATACACTTTGACTGTAAATACAGTGATAGTGAAAACGAAAGGGAAGAAAAATCCAGAGGAAAAAGTCTTAATGCCTGGTCTTAAAGACACGCTGAGAGCTATAGTCTTTGCGATTGCATTCATCGGCTGTCAAACCGACGCTCTTTAGGGCAGAAAAACTGTCGCAAACAATGAATTCCTATTGTTATTCATAAATATATTTATATATAGGGAAGAGATATATAGAAGTTATAAATAAAATGTAATGTTTTATGTATCCATTCATTGTCTCTCACATCGGAGTGTATAACAGTGTATATAAATCATACGAGACAATGATTTTCTCGGTCTTTATTTTATTCAATTGAGACAATGTTTTTTCTCCTCTCTATCTCTATCTCTGTCTCTCTTCTTCGTTGAGACACAAAATTGCTATTAAAATCTCTCGAGAATTAATTGATTTTTTTCCTTCAGCCACTGAAATGCAAACATTAAAAGCAAAATAAATTAAATTTTCATTCCTCGCTACTCGTCAACAAACAAACATATCATGATATATCAAACATATCATGGTATATTGATATAGAAAACACTCGTTAAAACAACTCGTTAATTATGCCTTTTGCTAAATATACACTCTATATAAAACACTCGTCGCTTATTATTAATAAAAACTATACAAATAGTGATCGACAGGATTCTGTTGCTGTGAGCAGTATTACACAGATTGGGCAATACATGCACTTATTTTTTTTGAAGCTAATTATTCTGTACTAATGCATACGTCTCTTGTTTTTTCTCTCTTCCCACTGTCTATCCATCCGTCTATTTCTGGTCATCGCATACCTGTCCACACATATGATGGCCCAAAACAGCGCCTTTTGGATGCAGTGGAAGCGATGATGAAGAATCGTCAGGCGAAATACAATTTCACTAATTATTATCGTATCGCACAGTCGCAGGTCGTGCTCCTGCCGTTGGCTCCCAGTCCTATGGAGATCCTGTCGACGGTCTGCAATCAACTGCTCGTCAAAGACATCACAACCATATTATATATGACTAATTCCGAGATTTGGGGCAGTAATGCCGCCTCCGCTCAATACCTCATGCAATTGACCGGTTATATCGGGATTCCAGTCATCGCATGGAATGCTGATAATATAGGCTTAGATCAGGTCAGACATCATTTCTCTTCCACTTTTTATTTCTCTTCCTCTCTCTCTCTCTCTCTCTCTCTCTCTCTCTCTCTCTCTCTCTCTCTCT